GCGCCCCCCTGCCGGCCCTGGCTTGGCGGCCGCCGGTGCCTGCCGAGGGGGCAGAGCGGGCCTCCCGCGCCTTCCTAAGCCCCGCGCGTCCCGGCCGTCGGGGACAGCGGGAGCCTGGACTGGCCCCGGCGGCAGTGGGTGCGGGCTTCGGGGACGCGGCGGGCCGAGCACCCCGATCCGGCTGCGGCTCGCTTTCCCAGAGGTTCCTGGCCGGTGCGGCGCCGGCGCTGGCAGGTGAGCGGGGACGAGGCGGGTGGGCCGGGAGTCGCCCGAGACGGGCGCTGCGTGGGGCTCCGCGGCCGGACGGCTCCGTGCGTTTTTCTCTCCGGCTTTGCCGGGTCGCCTGGGCGCGCAGATGCAGTGCGTGTCCCCGGCGCTTGCGACCCCGACGGGGGACACGGAGATGTCACCGCACTGGGGAGGAGGGGTCGTACTTGGGGCGGCTGCTGCAGACCCGGGGCCCGAGGACAAGACCCAGAGGCCTTCCCTAGTGAACCCCCAGCATCCTACTTCTGAGAGTGGTGTGTGGGCAAGGGCGTCCCGTAGGCAGGGACAGCCGACCCTGCGGGAGTCCGTGCGGCATGTTGGGGACCCGGACCAGCAGAGAGCCCGGGCGGGTGCAAAGCCGGGATCCAGCCCTTGTCCGCCGTGCGCTGTCTCCCGCCTCCGCCCTCCGCCCGCCCGCCTGCCCGCCTGCCCGCCTGCCCTGTCGCCCCGCTCCCCGGCCTCGGGTGGCTGCGGAGCCTGCGCGGCGCGAGGGGGCGTCCTTCCCCACCGAGATGTGCTCCCGCTGGGTGCGCCCTCTGCCGCTCTCGTCGCGATCTCCACCCCACCCTCCCCACCCTCCCACTCCAGCCCCAGCGCCGCAGCCCAGGACCCTGGCTGGCGATCCCGGGGCGCAGTCGCGGTGCTGTGGTGAAGAGTTCGAGCTGCGCGGAGTTGGGGCTGGAAGGAGGCAGTAAACCTATAGCTCGCTAATTCAGACTCTGCGGCCAGAAATCGTGACTTGCAAGAAATCCTGCCTCTGTTCCCCACATGCCATTTCTTTCCGAGCCAGTGGCAGGGTGGAACATCAGTGAGTCCCCTCTGCTGACCTACAGCTGTCTTCCTGGAAGGAGGAGCGAGCGCTTCCTTCCCTCTCTTGAGCATCCTTTGACGGACTTACGCTTTCCACTTCCTTGCTTTTGGGACAGTGAGAGAAAAAACTGAAAATGTGCGTTCAGAAGCGTGTGCAGGGGCGGCTGGGAGTGTGTATGTGATGTGAGAAAATTACACCTATCTGGGACGCGGTCTTGGGTTCTTTCACTGCAGGCTTGAGGGCCCAGTTGGACGCCCCAGCTCGGGTTCTGGTGGGTTTTCAGAGATCATGGTGGTAAACTGTTTTTGTTTTGTTTTGGGGTTTTTTGGTACTAGGGATTGAACTCAGGACCTCGCACTTGCCAGGCAGGCGCTTGAGCTGCTATATTGTATCCCAGGCTCTTGTCGTGGTGCTAGAGACTTAAGAAAGGAGTTAGCTGAGTGACAGCAAAGTTTCCACATTTTAGCATTGTCCCGACATTCTGTTCCCTCCCTTCTCCTCCAGCACTAATGGGGCTCCGTCTTGCTCTGCCCTCCCATCTTTAATATCCTGTGGGCCACTGCTTCCTGTCACTGCCTCATCAGTGACATATGTTAGGAATCTGATTTACTTTTGATTACTGCTGAAGGGAGTGAGGCTGAGGGAGCCACTCAACAGCAGGGCTGGCCCAGCCTTGTCTTAGGAAAACCAGAGCTCCAAGCCCACCCTCAGGGGCCATCCTTAATGCACTGGGAAAGGAAGCCTGCGGAGCTCAGCTCTCTGAACCCTACCCAGCGGCTAGAGGTGAGCTGAATGGAGTGTGTGTGTCAGCCTCCTCAGCATCTTCCCTGACCCTGAGGCGGGGAGGCCTGCTGGAGGATGTTAAATACAAGCCCATCGCCCTCTGTCCTAGGGAGATGGATGGGACATTTGACATTTGGGACATTTCCCAGACAGAGCCATGTTTGATCCCGATGTCCCTGCTGAAGTTTCCCAGCTGCAAGCAACAGGCCCTGAGAGGCCTCAGTCAGGGCTGTGCCATCGCCTGAATGTGTGTAGCGCACCCAAGAGTGCGGTCGCCCCCTCACTGTGGGCTGTGGTATGGTCAATGGGATGGATGTTCTTTCTGTCTCCTCTGCTTTCACATCTCATGTGACTGCAGAAAGTGAGAATTCTGTCTGCACTGTCCTCTGCCTGTCACCATTTGACATTGGACATCTTAATGCCCTTCAAGTGGCAGTAGTAAATGAATTAGCACCCTAGCCAATAGTTGCTGGTAAATGGCCTAGAAGCTGTTGGAAAGCCAGCACCCTTGTATGTTACTCTGGGGAAATATTGGTCCCCCAGCTGGTCAGGACTGTGGGCTCTATCGTCCTTGGAACTTTTTTGTTGGTGGTGATGGTGATGGTACTAGGGATTGAACTCAGAACTTAATGCTTGCCAGGCAGGTGCTGTCTCACCAAGCAATATCCTCAGCCCCTGTTCTTTGTACTTTTAACTGTTTGTTTTGGTCTTTTTGAGACAGGGTCTCACTCTGTAGTTCAGGCTGGCCTTGAACTCCTGGTGTCCCTCTTTTAACTTTTAAAAATAGCATTCTTTCTAAGGAAAGAGCAGAGGTTAGAATCAAGCCAGAACAGCACTAACACACATCCCATTTTACTTCAGCCAGCTTTTATCTGGTATAGCATTTCTGTCCAAAGTACAGTGCCAAAAGTCCTCGGCATCCTTTTGGACTTGGTCTTAGATGGTGATGTTGTTTATCCTCTGAATATAGAGTCCTGCTCTTTATTCTGATTCCTGAACTTGCAAGTGTGCTACCCATGAGCTACACCTTCAGCAGGACCATTCCTAAGAGGGATAAACATAAATATGTTGGCATATTTGGAACTGAAGGTGAATTCGAAGATTAACAATCCTTCCATACATGAGATATTTTCTACACAGCAATATTTTAAGATATGTAAGGATAAGCTGCCAAAATTACCTGTACGGTCTTGAAAAAAAGAGTTCAAATATAACCATAAACTGTAATTGACAGTGAGTCACTTGTTCTGAGGATGCCAGCTACAAAATGAGCCTCGTTATACCCCAGTGATAATTATGAAAACTCCTTCTAAAAGCCAGTTGCATCCCAAATGAACTGTCGGTTTCGATATATACTCTGGATTTTACTTATTTAGAAATTCCTGTAGTGGGGATCGTTGCATCACAGTATTATTGTACATATCGCCACTAAATTGCACTTAAAAATGGTTAAAATGGAAAAAAATAAATGAAAGTATTCAGTTAATAGTTGAAAATGGTACTTTCTATTCATGTATAAGCAGTTTTCAAAACTTACCTTTCCTGGGGCTGGCGGTGTAACTCAGCGGTAGAATAGATGCCTAGTGTATGTAAGGCCCTGGGTTCAACCCCCTGCACCAAAACTAAAATGTAAAATTTGGAGTATTCAAATGTTTTATAAAAACATTTGCTCCTATAATGTAGAAACAATTTCATATGTACTCACTGAGTTTTGAAAAAGGACAAGCCTCACAACTTAAAAACTTTGATAACAGAAAATAGAAATATGAAAAGTGTGTTTCCAAGCCAGACATGGTGCCTCACACCTTAATCTCAGCTGCTCTCCAGGATGTAGGCAGATCATAATTTCAAGGTCGACCTGTGTTACTTAGTGAGAGCCTGTCTTAAAGTAAAATTTAGTAAGGGTTGGGGTATAGTTGAGTTGTAGAGCATTTGCCTGGTATGTAAAAGACCCTGGGTTTAATCCCTAATGCTAGCAGCTAGGGGTAGCTTGGCATTTTATTTACAAACCTAAACATTTTAAAGCAAATATAAAGCCTGTTGAAAAGAAAAATGATACGTATTATGAGCGTATGAGCAGTTACTTTTCTTCCTAGTAGCTTACTGTATGCCAGGCAACCTGTAGGACTGTACATCTGTTAGCACACTTATTATAGAAACCAAAGGAAGTGGTGCAGTCTCAGTTTGTAGATGTAGAGGCTGAAACGTAGGTTAAATAATGCACTTCTGCTCAAGTTGCAGATCTGGGAAGCAGCAGACCTGCTCTAAGGAAAAGCAGTCTAGCTCAAGAATCTGGAATCTCATTCCTATCTTTTTATATGGTTCTGTGCAGAGCATTTCATACTATTTGAATTGGAAATATCAGGCAGTTTACCTATGTGTAATCTGGTTTTGTTTGCCCAAGCTGTGTTTGTAAATCTGGGCTGTGACAGTGATACTATAAAAGGACAATGATACCCTGAAGTCTCATGTAAAAAGCACTTACAGATGGTGCTTTGCAATCCAGGAAAGCGCCCTTTGCATATTCCCAGCTAGTGGAGTACTCTCTCGGTACCACGCATGGGATCTCTTCACCCCCCCCCCACTTACCTGTCTTCTTGCTGGAAGAAATGTACTTTTTTTTTTTTTTTTACCATGTTTCACATCAGGTCTGTAACAACTCAAATCAAAAGAAAAAACATTTAAAGTTCCATAAAGGTACAAAAGGGCTGGGGAGATGGCTCAGTGGAATAAGTGCTTCCCTGGCAGGGCCTGAGTTCAATCCCCGGTTCTGCAAAAAAAAAAAAAAAAAAAAACAAAACATAAAGGTACAAAGTGTCCAGCAGTGTGACTGTGTGGATAGGGCTAGCCATGTGGCAGATGTGACAGAGGTACCATGTCCATGTGTGCCTCTTCTTTGCTAATGGTGTCGCAGAAGCAGAAATAAGACATGGTGATTTTTGATGGTTTCCAAACATCAGCTCAGCTAGAATCCAAGAGGATACCATCAAGAAGGATGATAGAGGTCGTTTAACCAGTCTTAATTTTTCACGTGAGAAAACTGAAGTCTGCTGAGACAAAGTGACGTGTAGAATTATGGCCAGTAGGCTTGGGTTTAGACCTGGGTCGTGTAATCTTTATGCTTGGTGTGCTTTCCTCTGCTTGGGAGGAAGGCTTATTACCTAGAGGAATAGGAACATGGTGGCCCAGACTCCAGGGAAATGAGCTAGGCCATTACTTACCATCTCCAAATGCTTCACCTACTCTGTGCAAGGTAGAAGATGCCTTTTGACCCAGTGATTGGAGGAGACGTGTCCAGACTGGAAAAAGGCAGGGTCACTAAGTGGCTCATGCCTCAGCAATCTGGGCAGTTTCCCTAGGGGTTGGGTCTCCAACACCCGAAGACAATGAACCAGTTGGTGAACAAGTAGTGTATTCACAAGGCAAGCAGTACTTGCTGAACCTATAGCGGGCTCAGATTAATGGCAGGGTTCCAAACTGGATTTATTGCTGTTTGGCTTTTTTTTTTTTTTTGGCAGTAAAATTTGGTTCACATTTAGAAAATGTGAGTTCCTTTTCCTGCCCTCTGGGATGTCCTCCTCATTATTATTATTATTATTTGTGTTTTTTTTTTTTTTTTTGAACCAGGGATTGAACTCAGGTCCTTGCGCTTGCCAGGGAAGCACTTATTCCACTGAACCATCTCCCCGGCCCATCCTCCTTAATATTAATGTCCACTGACATGAGGAGAACTCGTGCTGGCTTCTGGAGGGAAAAGCCAGTCTGAAAGTGTTTACTTGGACTGATTGGAAACTTGCTTTGTCTTGACAGGTGTGAAAGAGGACACAGCGCAGTTGCCCTTTCTTCCTCTGAGCTGACTTGTCAGCAAAGAAGTATGACCCACGCTTGACATCTGTGTCAGCCTCCTCAAGGCTGAGGGATCTTCTCCTTAGAAGGCATCGGTACTATGCGTGTTATGAATTGTGTCTCCTTGGCCAGTGATAAAGGAAATGGGACTATTGCCACCTCAGCTGGCTTCATGATCGGGCAGACGCCACCCCCAGCTCCTCCGACTCTTTCGACTCCTCCACCCCCTCCCCCTCTGCCATGTCCTCTCTCTGGGGGAGCCCTTTCCTCCCCCTCCCCTCCCCCACCCCCACCACCTCCCGGACCCCCTCTCGCTCCTCACCCCCAAAGCTTCAGCTCCCTGGGGAAGAAGAAGCGGATGAGGAGCTTTTTTTGGAATACCATTCCGGAGGAGCAAGTTCGAGGCAAGGCCAACATCTGGACCCTGGCTGCTGGGGAGCAGCATCACTTCCAGATCGACACGAAGACCATAGAGGAGCTCTTCGGGCAGCAAGAAGACACAGCCAAGCCTTCCCTCCCCAAGAGAGGAGGACCCCTGAGCTCATCCTTCAGGGACACTCGAGAGGAGGTAGGACTGCCGCGTGGGGAGTGTACACCTGGTGCCGCTGTGCTTTGCGCTGAGGAAGGTCCCAGCAGTCGCTAGTCATAGTCATCGTTAAGATAAAAGGGGATGTGTGTTGCAGATGAGAGGCCGAGTAGTGAAATACAGGGGCCATGGGTGCTGACCCGCCCGCATCCAGGGATACCACAACCGCAGGCAGAAAGCCTGCTGGTTGGAGGCCCTTGGTCTTGCATGTCAGCACCACCCCATCTCTTGCATGTCTGCTGTGGTTCCCAGGAGGAGCAGGTGCCTCAAGTGCAGGATTGTTGTCCCCCACAGGCAGAAAGTGTACCTCTCCTAACCCCACAATGTGGGATGCACTGGATGTGTGGGATCAAACTGCCTTTGTTCGCTAGCAAGCACTCAAGCTCATGAGGACTTTCCCGCCCTCTTCTCCCTCAGCGTGTTCGAGATGGCCTTCACTGCTCAGATCTCCGAGTTAAATTGCAATCATGGTGGGAAAGAGACTTCTAGAGAGTTGAATCATAAAGCTTTTTGCAGGCTTTTTTAGAAGCATATTTCCAGTTGACACTAAGTGTTTACTGTGGAAAAATAAGGTGTTAAGCGACAAAGCATTCACTGAAAATGTGACCCCAGGGCTACAGATCACCCAGTAGTCCAGAACCAAAATCCGCACTGCTCAGTACACTCCTGGGATTTTTTTTTTTTTATCTTTTATTTATTTGATACTGGGCTTCATTAAACAGCTCAGACTCATAGTGATCCTCCTGTCTCAGCCTCCCCAGCACTAGGATTACAGGTATGCACCACCATGCCTGGTTTCAGAGCCAGCATGGCATGCCCGGGGTTCTGGGGCCAGCACAGCATGTGATACCCGGGGTAGAACCACGTCCTTGTGCTTGCCAGGCAGGCGCTTAGACTGCCAAGCTATCTCCCCAGCCCAGTAGTCTTAGTTTTGACACATGGTGGTGGTTAAGCTACCTTTGCTTGCTAATAGAAATAACTAGGAAGTTGGGGATTTGAAGGGAAGAATACTGGAATGGGAAGAGGGAGGAATGGGGGAGAAAGGAACAAAGAAGGTGGCATAAACCTTTTTTTTTTAATCTGTTGTGAAGGAGCAGGGAAAATGGGTCAGTGAAGGAGCCAGCTGGATAGGAGATTGGGCAGGGCCCTGGATGAGATTGTGCTCTGTGCATTATTGAGTTCTCGAGCCAACAGCAGTGACCTCTTTTCTCTCTGGCTCATGGGCAGGTCCACTCCTTCTCTTTCCTGACTCACTTGAGGCCCTTGGTAAGGCTGGTTGTATGATTCCCTGTTGAATTCGCTGAAAGTCTATTCATTAAGAAATGCAAGGAGCCCAGGGATAGGGTTAGGATTGTGTCATTGTGAAGTAAATCTTGCAATAAATCGGAGAAGGAAACCATCAGCAGAGTTGGGGATGCCTTCTTTGGTGCTGAACACAGGCTTTCCTGTTCCTCCCGCTTGTGGCAAGTCCCATTATTCACCCTGGAGTCTTTTCAGTATCAGAAGGAGCAAGAAGTCACTTCCTTGGTACCCTGGCCTTTGCCCCCGCACCCCACAGAGGTTCTTTATGGTACATGGGGTGTGTCTGGCCACTGTCCCCAGCACTCCCTGCTGGGCCCAGGATGCTGAGGTTATGATGGGACGGATGTTTGTGGTGATGGGCCTGGGAGGACGGGGCCGTGTGTAGACGTTTGTGATCTGGAAGTCTGGGGAAAAAGAGGCCGTCCTTTCCCAGCTTTGGCAGGGCAGAAGCGTCCACTTCTATGCTAGAGCTAAAACTTAGAGAAATGTCCTTCGTGTTGCCCTCCTCCGCTCTTGATCGTTAGGTTGATTTGTACTTTCTTCCCTTTAATGTCTGTTTTTAAGAATTGTTTTCTTTCCCCCAGTGTTGGGATTATTTAGACTCAGGGCTACATGCATGCTAGGCAGCACCTTCCTTCTGAGCTATATCCCCAGCCCTAACATATTCTTAATTATAAAACATATATAAAGTTTACCACCTTACCTATATTTAAGCCCACAGTTCAGTGGCATTACGTACATTTGTATTATTGTGTCACCATCTCTAGCATCTTTTCATTGGGCAGAACGGAGTAATTAAACCATAAGTGCCTATTCTCCCCTCCCTCCCGCCCTTCCAGCTCCCTTCTGTGACTCTGTGACTGTCACAGTCTGTCAGTCTGTGACTCTGACTCCTCTAGGCACCTCATCTAGGTGGGATTGCACAGTGCTTGTCTTTTCCGTGACAGCTTATTTCATATACCGTAATGCCCTAAAGATCATGCCTGCGGTGGCACGTGTCAGCATTTTAAGGCCAAATCACGTTGCCCTGCGTGTCTCTACCACATTCCCTTTATCCATTCAGCCCCCGATGGACAGCTGGGGGCTGCATGTGCCTTTTGTGAATGCTGCTGCTGTAAACACTGCCCTTTTGACACTGTGGGACTTCCGCTGAGAGATGGCGTGCTGGGAGGCGAGTCTGCCTGACTGAGTCACAGGATGGCCTCATACTGCCACTCGTCTGTAGTTATCAGCAGCTTGGCCTGATCCATTCAAGCTCATTCTGCGACCATCACCAGAGAACCGGGGTCATTCCGACTCAGTCTCAATACCTCGTGCTATGTCCAGCACAGCCAGAAGTGTTAGATGTACTTTATTCAGTAAAGGAATATGGCACATGCTACCTTCTTTCCTTATAGATTTTCTTCTAAAGCGGTCACAGCTCAGCAGTTGTAGAGTCTGAGAGTGATCAATAATCTTCCAGCTCACCCTGCAGTAAGTGGAGTCCAGGGTCGAAAGTAATAGTCCACACCTCTCTCCAGGTGAACGGGAGGCTGTACGGCATGAGCGTGTGAGGACACAGGCTGCCATGCCGGCGGGTCAGATGGTACCCCTGAGACACAGTGGCCTCCCACAGAAGCGTCTAGCTGTATGTGATTGGCTTATACCTGAAAGGCCTTCAAAAGCATTACAGATAAATTCCATTGTAGTCCAGAGAAAGAATTGGCAAGAATCAAGGGAAGATTTTGGTTGAGGACTGGTTTGGTTTAGAACGGCACAAAAAATAATAAATTTGAACATTTAGTAGTGGGAAGCAAGGTTGTGAAATACTACTATCCTGGCGTCTTGGTTACCTAAAAATTAACTTGCAGAAAAGTACAGGTGTGACGGCACAACCGTAATTAAGCTGTAATAAAGTAATTGGAGACAAGACAGATGCATTAGCGGGACCATAATGAAAGGACTCTGCTCAGAATCACCTTTCCCCAGTCTGCTGACCTCATCCCAGGAGCCCCGAAGCTCCATCCTCCCCTGGCAGACGCCCCATCCTCACAGGAGTGTTGGCCTCTTTTGTGACTCCCTGAATAACGTGAGCAGTTCTTAAGGGCAGGGATGTGCTTAGCTATTTGGTTTCCTCTGAAGCAATTAAAGGTCACTGAGTACCACAGAACTAAGAAAGGAACTGTTTTCCAAGTTGCCAAGAGATCAAAATTGGGGTTCACCAAGAAGTTGTAAATACTGACGTGCTTGCTGTCTTTCCCTGTGATGTCCTCAGCACACTGCTAAATGGAAACTGAATAAGAAACTGAAGTAGAGCCGGCCAAATAGCTCAGTGGATTAAAGCGCCTGCAAACAGGTGTAGGGGCCAGGGGTTCAATCCCCAGGCCTGCAATCCCCAGGCCTGCCTTGCCAGCCCTGCCCCCGGTGCATGCTGAGATGGCAATTGAGACTGGGCGCGGTGGCGCACGCCTGTAATTCCAGCTCTTGGGAGGCTGTAAGCAGGTGGATCACTACAAGTCCAGTCTAGTAGTGACACCCTGAACATCTTGCAGACTCTTCCCTAAAATACAAAAATAAATAAATAAATAAATAACCAAAGTAGCTCGCTGGCCAGAGACGATCAGAAAGAGACAGGAAGAAAGGATGGAAGCGTAGAAGGAAAGGGGACTGCTCTTGCCAAATTTATGAGAAGTGGTGTTTTAGTCTCCCGCATTGTGATGGAGGAATCATTTTCAACTATCATTATGATTCCAGGACTGTCCTAAAATTCTGGGGCGTGGTCCTCACCCAGACCTGTAGATCTAGATGAAGTACTTGATTGATCCATTGGTTTTGCAGCACTAGGGGGTTGAACCCCGGGTATCTACACTGAACTATAACCCAGGCCTTTTTAAATTTTAAGGCAGGATCTCCCTAAGTTGCACAGGCTAGACTCGAAGTTGGATTCTTCTGCCTCCTCCTGAGTGCTGGAAATGCAGGTTCGCACTACCACGCCTGGCTTAAATTATTACTTTTCTAAATGAACTTCAACTAGGGCCTTCATTTTTTTTTCCCCTCAAATCAAGGGATGATTTCTAATAATCAACTAAAAGTAAAAAGGTGATGAACCATCAAAGACCAAATGCTAGGTCTATGTCAGATGGCAGAGGAAGATAAATTTTTGCTTTTCAGAATTAGGAATTAAGGGGCTGGGGAGATGCCTCAGTGGAATAAGTGCTTCCCTGGCAAGCACAAGGGCCTGAGTTCAATCCCCGGTTCCACCAAAAAAACAAAAAAACAAAAAACCAGAATTAGGAATTAGATCAAAATAGCCACTATTTAGTGACCCTTTAAGAAGGTAAGAAAACCACTTTACCTGTGGAAACCAAGTGGGTTAGAGAATTGCTTCCACCTGGAGGACATTATGGTAAATAAAATGAGCCAATCACAAGAAGAGGAAGCAGGCAGCTACTGATTGGAAGTACTTTGAATACTGGCCTTCATGGAGACCAGAGATCAGGGCTGGAACAGGGATGCAGAGTTGGTGCTTAGTACATCCAATATTTCAGTTTTGCAAGATGAAAAGGTTCTAGAGCCAGGCATGGTGGTGCGTGCCTGTAATCCTGTAATTGGGAGGCTGAGGCAGGAGGATCACCGTGAGTTCGAGGCCAACCCAGGCTACATAGTGAGTTCAAGGCCAGCCTGAACTGCATAGTGACACCCTGTCTCAAAAAAAAAGGTTCTAGAGATGGATGGTGGTGATGGTTGCACACTCAGGGGGGATGTGCCTGTTCCCACTGAATTGTATACTTAAAAATGGTCAGGGGCCCGGGAGATGGCTCAATGGAATAAGCACTTTCCTGGCAAGCACAAGGGCCTGAGTTCAAACCCCGATTTAGCCAAAAAAAAAAAAAAAAAAAAGGTCATGGTGGTAAATATCCTTGGTAGTTTACCACAACTAAAAATATTTATTTTTCCTGGAAGGCAGATTTTGAGTGAGTTGAAGTTCAGTGAAGGTGCAAGGACTGTGTTGTGGGACCAAGCCAAGTCGTGGGGGATGGCTAGCAAGAGGCTAGCCTTTCATGCCATGTCCTGGGCAGGCCAGTGAGGCTCACGAAGTGTCTCAGAGGACATCAGAATCACCAGGCCACCTGGGGGACTCTGTTCTAATTAGCCAAGTCCCCTTCACATCTCATGGGAAATCCTTACATCGCATGGAGTGTGGGGCCCAATATCCTCTTGTGTCTGCAGCTCCCTGTCCCTGGCCACCATCCTGCAGGCTGGTAGTGGCATGTGCCCAGCCATCCATCCCACAGTCCTGCCGATATAGCGCTAACTGTGGTAACCTTGGCCCCTGCTACATGGCCAGAGGCTGGCTCGTGGTTGGTGGGGGCTGTTGGAAGAGAGGGGCAGCAGTGTGTTCCTTGGCTCGGGTTCTAACCCCTGCTTTGGGGAAGTTGGGGTCCTCGACTTCCCACTTGGGCAGCCAGTAGACCTGAACACAACCCCCCAGGCAGGTGCCACTGTCAAGTGACTCCAGAACTCTACCCAGTCCCTCCTGGATTCACTGCCAAACAGCATTCAGAAAGCGAGACCTAGACCAGAGGGAGTGAATGATACATGTAGTAGTGATAACCCTCTTCAAAGGAGTTTAACAGACACTTTTACAACAGCGCTTAGAAGGACCGGTGTGATAAGGAAGGAGAGAGAGACTTCTCAGGCACCGACTGCAGCTCCAAGATGCAGGAGAAGATGGGACCAGCCGGGGTGTCCTCCCTTGTCTCAGTGGCACGATGTTTGGGCGCCATTGTTCAGCCCTGTATTCCTTGTAGGGGCTCAGTTGTGGCTGGCTCAGGCTTTTCCTTAAGGACTAGTTTGCTGCTTCTGTGAGTCCAATGGCCCCTCTGCAGGGAGGACTGGCTCTGAGGGAGAACAGAGCTTACCAGGGGACTCGGCCAAGCACCATGGATGGCTCCTTCCTTCTTTTCCTCTTCTTTTTTTTCTTTTCTCTGTGTGTGTGTGTGTGTGTGTGTGTGTGTGTGTGTGTCGGGGATTGACGATATGGCCTCGTCCCTGAGCTACCTCTCACGTTTTTGTTAAATTTTTTTTTTTTAAATTTTGAGAAATGTCTCACTGAATTACAAAATCGCCCAGGCTGCGCTGGAACTCTCTTACCTTCTGCCGCATGCTCCCAGAGTGCTGGGGTTGCAGGAATGCACCACTATGCTCAGCTTGGTGGCCACTTTCTACAGCTCTGCTTCCACTCCTGTAGAGGCCTCCAGTGGGAGGACTAGGCTGGGGGGAACCACTTGCCCCGCCTCTGCAGGAGGCTGCCTGAAACTCACAGGAACCAGGACCAAGAGGAAGCTGAGCGAGCGGAGGGCGGGCCTGTTCCGGTACTGCTTTGGGGGCCTCTAAAATGCTATCTCTGGGGCTCAGTTTCCTCAACTGTCAAGTACGAATCATACGAGTTATGATTTCCATCACTTTTCCAGCAGCACTGGCTGTGGACCTAGGCCAAGTGTGCAGAGTCCTGGCGCTCACAGGGCCAGACAGGATGGAGGCTGCAGTCCAGGAAAACATGCGGGGGATGACGAACTCATGTGAAGGCTGGAAAACAAGTCCTTCCATTCTTGGGGGAAGTGGACACAGAGGGAGCTTGTCAGATATGTGTACAGCTAGATCCCTAGACATGTTCATACTTGAGGCTTTTTAATTTATGATTTACAGCCTTGAACATAATTTTCTGTTTTAACAAATTGAGATTTCTCCCTTTGGTGTGCACGTTCCTCTTTAAAGCCAGTTAGCTCGACAGGTTTTGGTAGCTCCTATCTTTCTCCCACCCCTCCTCCCTTCCTGCTGAACTTGAACTGCATCCCCGAGGTAGGATTCTAAGAAGGGCTCTGCTTTTCCAGCTTGGAGGTTTGTTTTATGGCTGGCAGGTGACTGTGTTAACATGAAATAAACCCCTAGGTTAGGAAAATAATGTGATTGTTTAAGATTAGTCTTCAAAAGAAGGCAGCCATGCTGCTGTAAAAATGTAACCTATGGCCAGGAAATGACATGAAGGCTGGTTAACAGTCTCGCTGCCTGTAAACTTAGAAGCAAGGCAGAGATCAGGAATTTAGTCTGAAACCCGACTCTGCTTTGTTCACAGTGAATCACGTACACTTGGGAGGGAAGAGCATTACAGCAACATTCCTGGTTTAGCTAGTCTCCCTTTACCAGAAAACAAATGGGAAACATTTTGCCGCAGTTGTGGGTTCTCGTCCCTCCCACATCCTGGATATTCGCTTCCAGTCAGAAATGGCTTTGCATGTAACCAAAAAGATTGGAATTTCTAGTCTGATAAAATCTTCCCAGGTGTTAACTTTCAAGAGTTACAAACCAACTGCAGCCCAAATCTGGGTTTGACAGTAATTAGAATAGCTGTACCATGTTTCATTAAATCAGAATGGCCGCCGGGGAGATGGCTCAGCGGAATAAGTGCTTCCCTGGCAAGCGCAAGGGCCTGAGTTCAATCCTTGGTTGCGCCAAAATAAAAAAAGACTAAATCAGAATGGCCACATATTGTAAGATACAGCCTATTCCAGAGATGGTAAGTCATGACAAGAAAGTGTGTCCTAAACTTGGTAAAATACATACAGCACAGGAATTTTCTTTTAAATCTGAGTAAAAAGGCTGGAGATGAAGCTCAGTGATGGAATGTTGGACATGTCACGAGACCTTGCATTCTATTCCAGAACTACAGGAAAAAAATTCTGAGTGCACAAAACATAGGACATTTCCTCCTAAAAGGACTACTGGGCTTGTAATAGTCTTTTTCAATAAATACATTTTTTTTAAAAAAAAAGGCAAATTGGGAATTTTTATGATGTTTCTGAAAATAGCAATATTGGTTCTTTTACATCTGCAAATCAGGGTTGGGACGCAGTCTGCAGTAGACTCAGATTTGTAATCTGCTCAGTTTTTCTCAGTTCAAATTTCGTCAGGTTCTTGGTATCCTAATACATCTGTTGCCAAGTTAAGAAAGTGCCAGAAGTTTGGGAGGATGCTAACTTAATATTTGTAAAGCTGTATTAGCTACATCTACTGGATTTCTATATTGGTAATTATTTCTCTTATAAATTAGTCTTGTACTCTGGCAGGCTTCCACTTTCGATTTCTCTCCAACTCTTTTTATTTGTATTTTAATAATCTTTATGTATCTCTATTTCTTTCTAGGTTACCATCCTGGATGCAAAACGAAACATGAACATTGGGATATTTCTTAAACAATTTAAAAAGTAAGGCTTTTACACATGTTGGGAGCTTTAGTCATATCCAAGGTGTTGTCATCAAAATCTTATCAGTGTGCAGTGGATGATGTTGATGTTTTGATGCAAGTCAAAGGTGTTCCTCCTACCGTCAGCCATTCTTAGGACACCAGGCTTCATGAGCTCACACGTGTCTGTCACATGCTGCTATGAAAGCCTATCGAGTGGCTTGAAGTGAGAGAACTGCTAGGGCATCCATTCAAGCCATCATCCCCGGGGAATTCGAGATCCGCCGTCAGTGTCACCTTGTATACGGAGGTTGGATCCAGCCAGAAAATAGCTGTTAGATTTGCAAGGAGAGGGTGGCATGGGAAGCCACAAGAGCAAAGGAAATTGTCTTTTTTCCCAAAAAATAGCCTCTTGGTGGTTGCTAGATACCCAAGGATGGCTTTCTGGTTTTGGAGTGAAGGGATTCTGAGTACTTGTCTGCGGTGGGACTGCCATGAGCCTTCCACAGTGGGAAGAAGGCAGGATGGGAAGTGGGGTGGGCTTGCTTTCACGCCCACTGCTTGGTGTTCCTCTGGGCGCTGTCCAACAGACTTGACACAGAATGTGCTTCGTTGTCTCTTCAAGGTCTCCACAGTCCATCGTAGAAGATATTCGCCAAGGAAGGAGTGAGGATTATGAATCAGAGACGCTGCGAGAATTTCTTAAGCTTTCGCCCAAGTCAGAAGAGGTAAGAAGGATCCCGTGAGCTTCGGATGGAATGAGGACGGTAGAAACTTTAGGCTTCTCGTGTCAGAACTCACAGAGCAGGGTTACTGTCCCACCCAGAGATGAGCATTTTCTCACCTACACTGCAAGCAGGGAGAGAGATGCAGGCTCAGGGAGTCCCGAGTCTTGGTTCAAATTGAGAAACTTGGGTAAGGTTCTTAGTTCCTGTGAACCTGAGGTGCCTTACCTATAAAGTGAAGGTGATGACCCTGAGCTCACCAGGTTGTCAGGGGAGCAGTCCCTGGCGATGCTGCTTGGAAACTCCTGGCACCTGGGAGCTCAGTGAACTTGCGCTGTCTTTTCTCTCCTCTAGTTAGGACCTTTGCCTGGGGTGAACCCAGATTATTTTATACTGCTCTTCTACATATGCTTTAAGGGGAAAAACCATTTTGGATAAAGATGCTGTATAAATGAGGGGAGGTAGGTAAGCTGTTAATACATGGTACGTGCGTAATTGTGGTACTGAAAAAGGACCGCAACATAACGATACCTGTTTCATTTGGACTGAACTGAAGGTATTGAATGGCTGAGAGCTGGGTAATGAAAAACAGAGTAACAGCTTTACACATATTTTTTAGGGAAAATTCAATAAGACATTAATGAAGTATGCATAGTTATACATATTTAAATAAAATAATATACAATATTATAAAGTTTTCAACATTTTTCTAAGAAAAATGAAGATTTTTACAAATCCAAGGTCGGGATGGCTTTTCCTACAGATCATCCTTCTCACATGCACTACTGGCTCCTCCTTCCAGCATCCCACTCTTTCTCCCAGACATAATTTATGGGATTTAAGTGCCATTAATAATGAAAGAGAGATTTGTGCTTTTGCTCTGACGCGTATCCATGTTAAACTCGCAGGGCCAAGTGCAGGGTGCTGGTGGTTAACTAGCAACGCTAGCTACAGCTAGGTGAGGCTAACAGCCGAGGGTTGCTCCCTGCCTTGGGTTTTCTGTTTGCAAATTAAGTGTGATTTCCCCAAGCCCAGATTAATGAATGGTGTTTATTAATGCTAGTGAAGGGACTTAAAGTCTTAAAGGTATGTTGAATCATAATTTACCCTGTATCTTATATACTGAACAGTCTTTAATCTTGCTTTTTTTGTTGTTGTTGAGAATTGGATTTTCATGTTCTTTTTTGGGATGGATAAGGTTTAATTGAATTATAAAAAGATATATTGGCTTTTGGGCTAGGGATACAGCTCAAGGGTACTATGTTAGCCTACCATCTTCAAGGCCCTGGGTCTCATCTCTAGCACTACAGAAAAGAGGAAAAAAGGCGCGCGCGCGCGCGTGTGTGTGTGTGTGCCCGCACGCGTGCGCACTCGCGTATGCGTGCATGTGTGTTGGCTCGCTTTGCTTACGAATTCTCATTCCTGCCTGGGCTTCTCCCCTCCGAGGAGTGTGCTCTTCATGCCCAACTCCTAACTGACCTCATCACTTCGTTAAGTGAGGATCAGATTTGATAGCACCTGCGAAAGCACACTGTGAAGCTCTTCATGTCTGGCTAAATGCAACCTAGGCCTGAGGGAGGCTACCAGCCTTGTGCTATGAAGAGATGGGAGGGTGAATGTGATTTTCTTAATACTTTTGTTTCACATTTAAAAAGCAGAGGCATTTTTCTTTATAGCTGAGTAATACTCTATTGTATAAAAACACATCTTCTAAAGTCATATCAATTATTGCTATACTCTCTTTAAAGTAAATGTTTATTTTAAAAAAAAAGAGTAATAATAATAAAATGCAGAGGCAACCAGAAAATAAAATGCAAAGGGGTTTTCAGAGAAGTAACTGAGCTGTCAAACCCTCACCTTTTATAGCTCTCTCTCCTCTTTCCTTCCTTCTTCCCTCCCTCCCTTTCTCCCTCTTTCTCTCTTCTTTTTTGAAGTTGCATGTGGGACAGAGCCTGAGAGGCGAATGTAGAGGGACTCGGAGAGGAAGCCCACCCGGCCGGGCTCTGGTCCCTCAGGCTTCTAGGCGCTGTCACCGCCCAGGCATGGCTCTGGCTCGGCCTCACAGCCACCCACAGCTCACAGCTGTTCCTTCTCCCTGCTTGCATTTCCGCCCTTGGCTTCAGCCCACCACACTCTGCACATCCCAGAAGCTTCCTGCGGCAGAAGCACCCTGGCCAACCCACGGCCCTGAGGGAACCAGCTAGCTGGGCAGTGGTGTGGTGAGAGGGGGTCATGGAGACAACTGAAGCCACTGTGACTGATGCCCACTGTGAGGGCAGTGTGGCTCAAGGCTGGTGCTTGGGACCTGCGGCACTGCCTAGACTTAGGGCTGTCCCAGAGCCTTTGGATCTCCGATGCAGCTGGAGGACGAGGCCAGGCCAGGGGAAGCAGAGCCAGGAAGAGAGGTTTAGGAACGTGGCAGAACCGTGCCAGTAAGTGTGCGAGTGTGTGCGCAGCCGCCTGCCCTGAGCCTGTGCTGTCGCTTTCCGCACTCCTGCCTAGCATCAGCAAGGGCTGAACACTACTGAAAGCCCTTCTGCGCCAGGTGCCGGGCAAGGCAAAATGGATGAAGCGGTAATATACTGAAGTGCCTGACCAGGCCTGGCGTGCAGAGAGACAGTGACCGTGGTGAGTCTCTCGTGCACTTTTCTCATTTGGCCCTTACTGCCACATGGTAAGATGCTCCGCAGCTCTCAGGTTAGAGGTGTCACACGCACGGTGACAGGCGGGCTGGACACATGGTGACAGGCGGGGTGGACTTGAACCATGTGATTCTCTGACCCTGAAGCCATTCCTTGCCACCTCCCTGGGAGAAAGGAAGGGCAAAGTTTGCCTGACTGCACTCCCAGCTGCAGGCGGTGCCTGTCATCACGTCTGCTGTCACCAAGCACTGGGGTGGGTGAGTGCCACCCGGAGAACACTGTAATCTTATCAGCATGCTGCACATAGGGGCGGAAACAGCCCTTTTCTGTCCTGCCTGCTCCTCTAACAAAGCCCACCAAAGCCAAGGTTAGTTTGTTGTCAGGACTTTCTCTGCCCTTTGCTGAAAATCTTTATCTGGCGTGTTTGTGCATCCTTCCTGCGCGTGTGGTTAACCCTTGCAGAGGGAAGAAGAGGCCCATTAAGCTCGAGCCCTGAGTCTCTTCTTGTCCTCCCACCAGATGGCCCTCTATGCCAGCGTGGGATGAGGAGCCCCCAACCCCAGCCTTTTCCTGCCCAAGGCTCTACCACTGAGCATCTTTGTCACCTCTTCCTACCTTCCTCCTTTCCCCTGGCTTTCTCAGCAGCTGCTGAGAGGGAAGTGAGGTGGTGCGGGCTTCCCTGGGTGGGTACTTGGGGCAGTCCTGCCATTCCGAGGCCAGCAGGTGAATTACATGGGCTGAGGGCAGCCTGCCTGGGGATGTGTGGGTCACAGGGAGCCTGCGCCTGTGACCAGGACAGAAGCTAGGTGCAGCCGGGATCACCCCGAGCATCTCTAAGCTCAGCCAGCAAAACTGTGCTGACAGAGTTTAATAAAGGCTCTTTGATAATGGTGGAATACATACTAATTATAGGGTTAGTGCCCCTCTCTTTGACTGGCCTACCATTGGGAAGGTATGATAATCCCTCTTAATGAACATAAATCCCTTTGAAATAGAACGCAGAACTTTATGCATGTCTTTAAATGAAATACTTCTTTCCATCACCCTTCTCCTGAGAGCCATAAACATTTCTAGCCTTTCCCATAAGTGAAGGCGATTAAGCATTGCTCCGTTACAGTTTAGCCCGTGTGCAGCAGAAGCATTTACCGAGATTACTTAGCTTGGCCTGTTCTTGCACTTCAGGCTGAAGTCAGGGCTATTATTTTCAGAAGCCCTGACTTGCCGTGGAGAGGGTCTTCCAGCGCGGACAACCTCATCTGCCCCCAACCATATATAGCAAATGATCCAGCTCGGCTTCGGAAGGGCTCAGAGCTCATTTCAGGGAGTCTCAGCTCAGAATGAGGCACTGATTTGCATTTTGCCCCACCGGAGATGCTGGGTATCTTTAAGAACCTGAACATGGTAAATTCACCTTGAGGTTTTGCACATAAGGCAAATACAATTTTTAAAATCTCTATTCTTTTCCCCCTGTAAAAATAAAAAGAGAGGTTGAGGTGTGACATGATGAAAGAGTATGTGCTTTGAGTGCCAGGACCTTGTGACAGTGCTGGGAAAGTTTAACTAGACTTAATACAAGGGTGGGAGTTTGCTCTATTCATACTTTCAAATAATTAAATCAGACATTTTAGTTTGCAGATCCTTGAAAATAAAGTGCTTGGGTTTATCCCCCATTGTCCCAAAAAGAGTAATTTTTTAAAAAGGGGTCAGAACTGCACTGGAGCGTGGTGCAGTGGGAGAGTGCTTCTCTCCTCTGCAGGAGTCGGGGCTCCATCCCAGCCCCATAGCGCATAGTGCACAGGGCTTGCAGACCACAGTCCGGTGAAGATGGCCCTGTGCATTCTCCGAGGACAGCAGCCAGGTGCCGCTTCCCATAAGAGCACGGTTGGAAGTGGCTGTGCCTTCGCCTGGCTCATTTTCTGTGTGTGGTAGGCATGATTTTGTCTCCACTGCACTCTGAGAACTTTCTCTTTGCCTCCACGTCCTGCTAGCTGTTGGCTACGTACCCATGCCAGAACTCCCCTTTCTTTTTGTTACTACAGTGGAAGGAATATCTTTGTGTTTAAAAGCTTTGTCTGGTTTAATTTTGTTGTTGTTGTTGTTGTTACAAAAGCCATGCATGTTTCTAGTAGGCTTTTCAGTAAATAAATAACAAAAGACAATAGTTGTCACCTGCTGTCCTGTCACCAAGTGCCTGAAGAATTTTGTAGTCCTTTTCCTATGTGTGTAGGTAGGGTGTGGAAGGGTTGGGGGCTTTGCCTACCTTTAGGGAAGTGGACATGCCTTTTATTTTTTAAATTTACAGAAGTGGGATGCTGCCATGTATGCTATTTTTTTTACCTTTTGGTAGGAGGAAATTTTTTTTATTATTTTTATTTTTTGATACAGGGTCTTGCTACACAGTTTGGACTGGTAGTGATCCTCCTGTCTCAGCCTTCCCAGCACTGGGTTACGGGCATGAGCCACCACTCCCAGTCCCAGTGCCGTGCCAGCACAGCACACCTGGGGACCCAGGGACCTGGTACAGCATTTGGCACTGGGGACTGAACTCGGGGCTCAGTGCTTATGTCACTGAGCTATCTCCCAAGCCCTTACTCTTTTATTTTTTATTAACATTGTACAGACCAGTGGGGTTAAGTGTGATATTTCAACACATGCACGTGACCCAGTGACCAAGTCCAGCCTCCCTCGGTAATCACGATTGGACAGTTGGGTCCTTCTGTGTTTTTTAGCTTCCCCGTGTGAGAGAGAACATGTCCGGGTTCTTGTCTTTCTGTGTTGGGCTTACTTTCCGTACTGTGATCGCCTCCAGTTTCCTCCTTAATTTTTCAGCTGACAGGATTTCAGTCTTCTTCATGGCCGAATAATTTTCCACCACATACAGATATACTGTGCTTTCCCATCTGCTTGCTCATCACAGAGGCCTAGGTCGACTCTGGCTCTGGCTGTTGTGAAGAGTTCCTGGGGAGGGGGCACCTTACTGCTGCTCTTTCAGCTGCTTAAAGGACTTCCCTTTTCACTGCTCCAGCACATTCTTCCTCAGGCTTGGTAATCCAGGCTGGAGCGTGGCTAGGGGTAGAGGTGTGCGTCCTCACAAGGTCCTGAGTTCAAGCTCAGTGCCGAAATGAATGAATAAATGAATGACATGTCGTGGCCCACCTTGTAAACTGTTATTTGTGCCGTGGAACTGGACTGCAGAAAGCTCGGCTAGACCCCGGCTGGTTCCTATATGTAAGATACTGGAGGAGAGCTTTTCACTTAGGACTTAAAGGAGCTTGTTGTGGTGACTTTCCAGTCCCTTCTCTCTTCTCCCAAATGAAGTTTGTACATCTGGATCCTGAGGTGGGGAAAGGGCATCCTTGGAGCTGACCCTTCTCCAAGCCCCCTTTAGTAGCCCTAAGAGAGTCCAGTGGCTCCTGCTGTGGTTGGTTTAGGACCCTGCGTCCTCTACCTATGTAATTGTCACCAGTTCCTCTCCTTCAAATTTGTCAGTTTTGAACTTGGGACTCTTTTGGCAAGCAAAGCAGGAGGGCGGGGGCGCAGCTCAGTGAGGGCCTCGCCTCGGCTCCATCCCCACGCCGGCCCTGCCACATGCATCACGCGGGAGAGGCGAAGACCTCCTCCCAAGCCTTGTCTCAAATGCCTGCACTTTTATTAACTGGGCTTTAGCGCTGAAAGGCTATTTTCTTAGGAGGGTTCTAAAAGGACATTAAAAGTGAAGGAACTAACGGTGACTTCCCATCTGCCCTTCAGGTGAAGAAGCTGAAAGCCTTCAGCGGCGATGAGGCCAAGCTCTCCCTGGCAGACTCCTTTCTGCGCTTCTTGATTCAGGTGCCAAAGTAAGGACAGCCCCTGCTGCTTCGTCTTTACAGAGTCAGGCTTTTAAACCAACATCGAAGTCTACAGTTTCATCTTTTGTTTTTCAGCTATTCACTTCGGGTTGAAGCCATGGTGCTAAAGAAGGAGTTTTTGCATTCCTGTTCTTCTCTACACACCGATATGACAGTTTTAATAAATGCTACGAAAGGTAGATAAATATGTGATCCTCCCGTACTTCATTCTCCTTCGCTTTGCTAGCTAGTTTCTTTAAATGCAGCCGAAATTAGAAATGGAAAGTCCCATTTATGATAAACTAAAAAGGGAAGGGAGCCATTACTAGGGCTGCATCTAAAGTTAATTTCCATTTTTTTTCTCCTCTTGAATGTCAATTTGCATATTATCTTCCCACGAAAAAAAATTTCTCTCAACTCAGGCACCAGAGTAAATGTGCTGGCTGCAGCTCACTCTCACTCTTCTCCTCGGTTAGCTTTTGCTGGGCGGTGTGGTCTGTAGTGTGTGTGGTAAATGGGGCGTGTGTGTGTGCATGCACGCACACATGCGCATGTAGGTATGTGGCATGGCGTGTGTGCATGAGGTGTGCAGAGTGTGTGTGGTGTGTGCTGGAGGTACACAAACCCAGGACTCTGCTGGTGGCTGGCCCCAGCTCCTCTGGAAGCAGACCTTCTCCTGCCCTGGCCTCAGCAGCATGACGGTGGGACTCCCGTCCTGTGCTGTCCTCTCCTGCCCGCATCGTTTCCAGAGCCCACCATCTGTGGGCCAGTTCGGGCTGCAAGGACAAGATGGTCCGTTGCACTCCTTTGAGCAGCTCCAAGTTGCTCCCCCACACAGTCGGCCAGCATTTGTGGCCTCCTCGCTGCTCCATGTGGGCCCTGCTCTGACCTTGCCTGTCCTCGCCTTCCTCCACGCCTGCCTGATGCCTCCTGGCTGCTGGCTGGATTTCTAGCAAGCGTCTATAGAACTCTCTAATTTGGTTTTCCTATTTGGTTGCCCTGCCTAGTATGGAGAGAGAAGTTTTCTCTTTGGCTCACTGCCATCCCCCCAAATGGAGGCCATGGCTCAGTGTCTCGCCAGGCGCCACATACCAAGCTGTTGCAGCAGCTTGGGAGGGTTGTTCTTCCTGCTCAAATAGCAATGGAAGAAGTATGCATTCGTATTGAGCAATGCAAATTGTGAGCATGAAGGAAACTATTCTTATCTGGATAACCTTCCCAAGCTGGCCTTCTTAGATAACAAAATGTAGTCCGTCCGAATGCAGTTGTTTTCCCATCCTGAGGATTGAGGCCCGGGGCTATAGCCCAGCCTGTTTTTAGATGTTTTAAATTTTGAGGCTTAGGGGCTTCCTGTGCTCCCCAAGTTGCCTGCTACCTTGGGATCCTCCTGTCCTAGCCTCCCAAGTAGCTCAGGTGCCAGGTACCTACCACTGCCTGGCTGGAAGGGTTTTGTGTGATTTTTAACGTAACAGCAGACTGAGTAGAGAACAGCATCTTGAAACAGCCATTGCTAGCACTTTGTTATTTCTCTATCTATAGTGTAATTTTAATAACCAAACTTTCTTCTTAGCTTTTCAGATAAATTTAAAAACTTGAACTGTTTTGCTTTACATAAATGCACATTAACTAGGTGTTAGCAAGGAATCATTTAGCATTACAGTCCAGTGCTAGGCTCCTTTTTAAAGCTTCTAGACAGACCAAGTGAAATGTGTAGCTCTGGATAAAATGCAAAGAGGCTGTGGATGGCAGTGCCAAGGTCTGTGCTCTGCAAGTTATTTACTCCTCTTCCAGGCTGTTTATTATTTATCTCTTCGTAATTCATGGCTAAGCAAAATGTTACTTGCTAGTCACTTTCATATTGCATAAACACAGTCTCTAGAAGGAGTAGATACGCAGAGAGAAAGCAATGCAGAAACAACAAGCAGGGAGTAAAAAGTTAATGCCTGTCACACAGAAGACTGCTTTGCATGAGGCGTGTGCATTTTCCACTGCCGGAACGTTCTCATGACCGCACCGGCTGATGATGTTTAGCCATCCTGCGTGTCTGCTCTCCAGTTGAGCTCTAAGGCAGGACGGCCAGGGGTGAGCAGTTCATTGCTGCCCCTGTACAGTGTGCCGCTTGCTTGGGTCTCAGTCTTTGCACGCGGTGTGGAGCTGCAGATGTCTGCGCCAGGTGTGCCAGCTGCCTAGGTGTGGCGGAGCTTCTCTGAGGCACTGTGTTCTCTTCTGACAGAGCTGATGTCGTGTAAGGCGCTGCATTCAATATTACACTTGGTGCTGCAGGCTGGCAATATCATGAATGCCGTAAGTAAAACCCAAAATAATTTTAAAAGCAGTCTTTTCACTTTACTGCTATCTGAGGCATAATATACTTCTTTCTTTTGCTCTGTCTTCTTTAGGGAGGATATGCTGGCAACGCAGTGGGATTTAAACTGTCTTCTTTGCTCAAACTGGCAGACACTAAAGCAAACAAACCCGGGATGAACCTTCTGCATTTTGTTGCACAGGTAGGTGATATGGTGCAGAGTGAGAATGGCTGTGATCCTCACTGAGATGGTGACATTTTTCCCAGGCAGGAGGTGGTGACGGCGTTTAGAAGGGGCCTGGTGAGCTCCGCAGAGGTTCTGTTTGCAGAAGACTTCTTCAGAGATCCCATGGTTGCTGGCATCAGGTCCAGAGCTGGGGCAGGGCGGGGTGGGGAGTGGGTTAGGAAGGCAGAGAGGCGAGGACGCCTGGCTGAGAGATTCAGATGCCAAAGGAGGTTTTCATGCTTTAGCGATGAGGAACCAGCAGGCACCTGTGTGCAGCGCGAGGGCACTGTGGGATTTCTGGTTTGAGGAAAATAAGGCCCCGTGGGGGCTGAGTGGGAGCCAAGAGAGCACTAGGAAGAGGGAGAGGCCCAGGCAGGAGTTGGCTGTATTTGGTGAGAACAGGTAAGAGGCAGGGTTAGAGGCCTCAGAGTTGAAACGTCTCCAGTGTGCACCGACCAGGTCTGGGGTTAGTTATGTGCAGAGAGATTACCTTTCTTCCTTTGTGAACAGTGTATTAGAGTGCCTTGTCACTGTTACAGCCATTACAAGCTATAGGGTCCGACCCACTCCATGGCACACGCGTGTGTGTGTGCGCGCGCATGCATGCTTGCACGTGTGCACATGCATTTTGGATGGAACCCAGGGCCTGTACATGCTGTGCTAGTGCTCTACCACTGAGCCACCCACCCCCTCAGCCCATGGCTTTTTTTTTTTTTTTTAATTTATTTATTTGTGTGTGTGTGTGTGTGTGTGTGTGTGGCCAGCTCAGCCCACCAGGGGGCGGGGCTGGCTGGCATGTGGTGCTGGGGGATTGAACCGCGGTCCCTGTGCTTTGCTAAGCTTGTTCTAAGTAGGTGCTTTAGACCACTGAGCCATCTCACCAGCCCCCCATGGCTTATTTTGAAAGGGCTTTTTAACACCATAGTAACTAGATGCATGGAGAAAAATTCAGTCAGCTACCTTCTAATTACTGTTGCAATTAAACCTTCTCAGCAGTTGTAGTGACTTGCCTCTCTTTCATGAATCCCTTCATTTGGACACCCATGACAGACTCAGCTTCAGGCTGGGGAGAAAGCCACTTGCTTGCTTGTGTTGAGCGTGACCTCCAGCATGGGACAGACTGAGGAGATGCTGGCCGTCCTTTATTTGTCACAAACAATTTACATAAACCTTAAGACCCTCAGTTTCTTTATGTAAGGATGGAGGTAGTGGTAACTTAACTCAGAATCAGGCAATTGAGAGGACTGGAGGAGATGAACCCATAAAGTGCTTGGTTCGATGTTTGGCAGATAGCAAGCACTACACAAATGATACATACTGCTAGCATTCCTCTGAAGACAAAGGGCCATCTTCAGTACTTGATTGCCTTTTGGCTTTGGTTTGGTTTGGCTTTTGGGGGATTCTGGGATCAAACCCGGGGCCTCCCACATTGCTGGGCAGGTGTCTGCCACAGAATTGCACCCAGGTCTTCAGTGCTTGATGGAAAATTTAATTTTCCAAGAATTAAGAGAAAGAATAGTGTGTTCTGGCCAGTGTGGATTACAGTTCACATTCTGGCAAAGCTCCTTTGGGCCCATCTGTCCAGTTGCTCTGTGTCACTTGGTCCCTGCCCTGTGGGGACATCTGAGTGTCAGTGCCTCCTGCTCAGCCTCCCAACCAATGAAGAATCCAGACCCCGCCATGACTTGTGTTCCTCGTGGGTAAACTCAGTTAGCGAACTGGTTGAACAGCTGATGGTATGTCAGTCCTGTCAGGGCATACTCAGAGGAATGGGTGGTATTCGGCAGAATGATCGGATTCTCTTAGAGACAGTAGGCCTGGCTCGGCGGCCACCTGCACACACGAGTTGTATTTCATGTTGCAATCAACTGCCGTGGGAAGTCAGATGTATTCTGAGAGTGAAGGTACTGTGGTAAATCTTACCAAGAATTTTAGCATTCGTGTCAGCGAGTCACTGTGGATGTAGCAAGCTGAAATATAGGCCGCGATCGAAAGGTTCCTTTAAGTTCTAAGAAAATTAGCTCCTTCCAGGTTTATCTATCTGGTGAGAGAAAATTTCTGTTTTCGTTCCAGGAAGCCCAAAAGAAAGATGCCAGTCTTCTAAACTTCTCTGAAAAGTTGTACCACGTCCAGGAGGCTTCTAGGTAAGTAAGAAAGACGGAAGCACGTCAGGGGAAAGCAGTTGTTGGCACTTTATAAAAACTGAGTCGTGACACCTATTGGATGCAAGCTTGAAATTTAGAAAGTCTTGTTGTGTTGGACTTGGAGGCTTCTTTTTACTTGCCTCAAAGGAGGGCGTGTGGGCCCGTGGAATATGGGAGTTTTGAAAAGTTTATTTTTAAAGATAGTACTTTAAAATGCTGTTGTAGTTTATCCTCATGAGTATCATCAATATTAAAAAAGTATGTGGACTAAGAATTTCAAATCCTTCCACACCCAAAAGATAGATTTAAACAGCACAGCCAACTAGCCCAGGAGTTGGTCTGGATCAGTCCCACTCTCGGGCCATCATCCATCACTGCTGGCGTGGAGAATCCAGCAGGGCACACTTGTTTTTTATTGTATTAAAAGAGGTTGGAACCAGACCAAGAGCTGTGAAAGGATCTGATTTTAAATTAGTCACTCCACTTTACAGAGAAAGTGTCTGCCGAATGTAACGCTCTAATTACATCATCTTAATGTGCAGCTAATCCTCACATCGATGGGTACTTTAATATCGTTACAGCTTGTGCAGATGTACTATTTTGAGTTCTGTGATTTTCAACTTATGACACATGCCCACACATCTCAAGGTGAATACTTAAAAAAACCAGTTCTTCGAGAAAAAAAAAAAAAGTCTGCTTTGTAGCATTTGCTGGTCTTCATACCATGAATGCTGCTGGCCTGGCTGACTGCAGGCTGCTGACATGGAGTTACTGAAAGCAGGCTTGGAACAAACACCCGCAGGCAGCCCCTCACAGTGTGGCTAGCTCGCTGCTGCTTCACAAACTCAGCTCATGTCATGAGCTTGTTTTTGAGACAGGGTCCTGGGGCTGGGGAGACAGCTCAGCAGTGCAAGCGCTGCCTGGCAAGAGCACGGTCTTGGATTCCATTTCCAGTACAAAAAAAATGATCAATGAGAGGCTCCTGCTGTGTTTCCCAGGCTAGCGGTTGCCAACTCCTGGGTTTAGGCTGTCCTCCTCCTCCTCCTCCCTTCCAAGTGGCGGGACCACGGCAGGCAGTGCAGTGCTTGGCTGTGTCATGTACTGACTATGACGGTGACTACAGCCAGCAGTGACGGCAAGGAGCCCTGGGTGTGTCCACATGTGAACCAGGGCTCCTAGCCCTGTCATTGGCACTGTGTCGTTGTTGTTGACTCTGTGGGCACCTAGCCACAGATTACATGTCCTTCCCCAAGTGGGGTTATTAGTGCAGAGGTGGGAATGCTTCGTAATTCATGTTTACAGTTGCTGTGTTATTCTCCACAGAGAATGGATGGCTTACAGGACACATACTTTTTTTTGCAGTACTGAGGATTGTACTCAGGACCTTGCGCTTGCCAGGCAGGTGCTTATGCCACTAAGCTATCTCCCCAATGCACACTTTTGTTTTTGTACCACTTAGAAATTTTCATGGGGCTATTTTTACTCTGATAGAATATAAACATACCTAGGGAATCTGTAAAGAGAAATTATTATAACACCCCTCCCATATGGGGTTGAACTCAACACCTCAGGCTCCCCATGAAGTTACATGTCACAGCCTTTTTAAAATTTTTGTTTTGTTTTGTTTTTTCTCTTTTTGAGACAGGGCTTTATTATGCAGTTCAGGCTGTCCTTGAACTTACTTTGTAGCTCAGACTGGCCTCAAATTTACAGCGATCTTCCTGCCTCAGCCTCTGAGTGCTGGGATTACAGGTGTACACCATGATGCCCAGCTTAAAATTTTATTTTGAGACATAGTCTCATGAAGTTACCCAGGTTAGGCTCAAACCTGTGATCCTCCCACCTCAGCCTCCCAGGTAGGTGAAGTCACAGAGATGCACCACCATTGCATACCATTACGTCAGAGTTGCATCACAAGGTTAACTGCATACTACCGTGGGAAACTCCTTTTTTCAGAAAGGTTTATTTATTTGAAATGGAAAGTAAGATTCACAGTCAGACCTCCGATAGGCATGGAGGGCCAACAAGGGGAAATCTTCATTTAGTATGAAGACTTAGAATCAACAATGGAGGCATGAATGCATCCTGCTTCACCGACTCTACCTTGGTTTTGGGCTTCACCTGCGTGCTTTGCCATCTCTCCTGCTCTATCTGCTTACCTTGTTAGGATCCCTGAAAGCGAAACACTGTACCAGTCCTACCACTTACTGAGGCTGGTGGCTATGTTTTAGTCTCTAACGCACAGAGCACTGTGGGGACCATCGTGAAAGCTGCTAGGTTTCTCTGGGTGACCCGAGCATCAGCAGTCACAGCCTCCATCTCCTCCCCATGGTAGACAGCCATCTCCGAGTCCTGCCAGCGTCTTGGCTCCAGTGCTTGTTGCCTAAAGGTGCTCAGCTCTGTTTGCAAAAGGCTTCCCCAGTCCCGTGGTTCTGGTTATCTCATCTGCAAGAACAGAAACAGCATGCACTCTTTGTACCAGCTTGTGTTTTTAGGAAGCAGTTGCCTCCAAATAAACAGATGGAAACCCACCGTGCAAACACTCGGAGGCAGACATAATTGCGGGCGCTCAATCGTAGGTTTCCAAGGCTGGCCAGAGATATGTCTTGTTTGATGTGTCCCCAGGAAGCCCGGTGTCCTTCTGCCAATTGCCCACTCTCTTCTTTCTTCTTTTAGATTATCTCTGGATAACACAGAGGCAGAGCTGAAGTCGCTGTCTGTCAGGACGAAATCGCTGGAGGAAAACATAAAGCGGGATGGGGAACTTTGTCAGCAGATGGCTGATTTCCTGCAGGTTCGTATGTAATCACATCAGTCCCTCTCATCTGGGCCTCAGCCGGCCCTGACCCAGCAAGGCCGCTCAGATCTACGTGTGCAGATTGGTGAGGTGGCAGCGTGCACATTCCCCAACCCCACGGTAGTACAGGAACCCTTTGCATCCCGAAACCTCTTCATGGCTTGGGGTATTGTTCATGGTGTAGCCCTAAGGTCTGTGCTGGGGTGGGGCCCCCGCCTCTCACTCTGCACTCTCATGACGGCGCCTGTGTGTGATGGCTTCCGTCAGCCTAGGCTGCATACACTCAGGGTGCCTATGCTTTGCTTTTAAGCCAGTCGCATTTCTCTACCACAGAACACGTTCTGCAGAAATCATTCCCTTAGGACCCAGGCCCCTGCTTCCTGCACTTGTTTATGTGGGAGAGACGAGGCGCAGTGTTTGGCTGGATTTCTAATGAGGGCAGAACACACACGTGATCATCACCGAAGACACCAGCCCCACCAGGGCGTGTCTGGAGGCTCAGCAGAAAACAGTCGAGTGGACGTGGTTTTGAGGGCTCCGGTGACTCACTAATCACAGAGTCTGACTACTCTTATCTCCCTTCTTTTGGAAGAGGAAAAGTGGTACTGTTGCCCTCTAGGACACAGCGTGCTAGTGCAAACGCAGTCAGCTCTTGGGGTCCCTGAAGGTGGATTTGTTTTCCTATTTGGTTGGTTTACTTGAGACAGGCTCTCTCTTTGTAGTTCAGATTGACCTTTAATTCACTGTAGCCCAGGCTGGCCTCAAGCTCGCAGCAGTCCTCCTGCCTCAGCCTCCTGGGTGCTGGAGTTCCAAGCAGGCTTCATCACACCTGGCCTTTGGGGGTACACATTATCTTCAACACGAAGTAATAAAGCAGACAGCCACACCCACACCAGCTGGTGAAAACCAACCAAATAGGAAAACAAACACAAAAAGTGTGTATCTGGAAGGGAAGACCAGCTTGGTTATATGCAAAAGCAAATACGGAAGCACATGTTTCAGAATAAAACTAAGCTCCAGTGAAGCCAAACCAAATCCAGTGTTTGGAGATAGGGGCTGAACCCAGTACTTTAAAGGAGACCCAGGAACAAGCAAGGCTTCAGGGGCCCAGTCTCAGGCACTCAGCGTGCCTGCCTAGGGCTGGGACTACAGGCTGCACCACCACACCTACTGCCTGGGCATCATTTTTATCTATAAAAATAAGACGTGCCACACAGCCTTGTCTTTTCCCCCATGAAATCAGCTGCTGCTTCTCTCCTTTCCTTTTGCTTTTTCCGGCACCAGAGCCCTTGCATAGAGCTACGTTCTTTGCACTTTCTTAGGTTTTGAAGCAGCCTCACTAAGTTCCCCAGATGGCCTAGATCTTGCGGCCTTCCCACCTCAGTCTCCTATAGTGCTGGGATTACGGGCTTGTACCCCCTGATGTAAACTTCTTGAATAAATGAGGTGAAGACATCTTAAGGTGGGTTAGGGTTAGGTCATGCCAAGACCTGAGAGCTGGTTCAAACACCTGGGGCTCCTGGCCTAAGCAGTGGGCAGCTTTAGAGGGGGTTGAGCAGAACGATGACAGGGACATATTTTTCACAGAGCCTTTTTAGCATTCTGAGCCCTTGGGTGGGATACCCTGAGGATGCTGGTTTGGGGCATAGTCCCCCTAGAGAGCTTTGCTCCATACCACCACCTGCCTGCACCAGGGCACCTTTGGGCTTCTCTGTGCCAGTCGTGTAGTGCTCACAGTATCTGACTTGCCTGCAGTTCTTTTTCAGTATTTTTTTCAGTTTTGAACTCACATTTTTCTGACCCTGAGGGCAGTGCTGGTGGCCAGGCTTTCTCCCCCCGCCCCCCGCCCCCCCAGTCTGCAGAAGAGACCTTGTCCCAGGGCTTCTTTCTGCAGAGGAGGCCTTGTCCTGGGGCCTCTTTCCCTGCCACTGAGCTGTCCCTTGCTGGCCTCCTCCTCCCCTGCAGGAGAGTAAAGGCAGAGGTTCTCCTGGCTTCCCCTTCTCCCTAGAGGAGCACTCAGGGCGCAGGCGTACACTGCACAGAGCTTCTGCCTCCTGATGTAGAGGGCTGCTCTCCCAGGCATTCAGCTTCTTGAACAGCTTTGGTTTCCTGCCCTCTCCAGAAGGTGCCTAGCTGAGGAGCAGGCTTGGGGGAGAGCAGCTGGAGTCTGGGGAGGGGGTGCGTCCTAGAGGCACTTCCTGGCCCTTGCTGGCCAAGCGTGTTCAGACAGCAGTTGGGCACCTCTTCAGGGATCCCACAATTTTCTCATACCACAGGCCTGCCCCCCTCACTCCAACCAGAAGTTTTTCAAACATAAGCCTCTTTAAAAAAAAAAAAAAAGAAAAAGAAAGTACACTATACATGTATTTTCTTAAAGTAACATATTTCCTGCATTCCTGCTTCCTTGGTAAACACGAACTCCACCCACACAGTGGTGGAGGGGGTGGCAGCCAGGGGGGCCTGCCTGCCTGTCTGGCTGTCCTCATGCTGTCCCTTTCCTCACCATGCTTCCTGTGGTCACCCACCTGTACTGGTGAAGTGTGGGCCTTGGGTGAGCAGATCCCATCCTGACGGGCTGGGAGCTCACAGGTGCAGCAAGCTGCCTTCGTCCTCACTGTGTAGAGGCCTGGGATGTAGGGGCTATGGAGGAATTAGGAAAAAATGAGCAGTAGAGAGGGGATTTGTAGGGGACTGTAATTCCTACCATGGGGCCCAGAGCACTCTGCCACACAGTTTTAAGATCTGATTCAGGGGGGCCAGGGAGATGGCTCAGTGGAATAAGCACTTGTCTGGCAAGCGCAAGGGCCTGAGTTCAATCCCTAGTTCCACCAAAAAAAAAAAAAAAAAAAAAAAAGATCTGATTCAGGGCCCACCCAGTTGCAGGCCCAAGTTATTGCCAGAGCTCCCCAGCTGGGTGGGACATCACCCCAGATTTAGGCACACGGGCTTCCTTCCTAGGAGAGCCCCAACCCAGTAGAGCTTCTTGGAATGAACAGGGAAGCACGGCCAGCTCATCAGTACAGGTGAACTTCGGGGACCCTGAAGTAACCCTTCAGCCATGTGAGAGTCTGCTTTAAGAGAAAGAGTAAATGCAGAAGAAATTTTTCGTAATGAAATCAGCTGTATACCTGGGTCACTGTTTCAGTGACAGTTAAGGTGGGAGTTTTGCTAGTGGCATAGTATAAGTTAAAATTCTTAAATCTTTCTTTTTTCTTTTCTTTTTGTTCTTTTTGAGGTAGGGTCTCACTATGCAGCTCAGGCTGTCCTTGAGCTCACTTTGTAGCCTGGGCTAATCTTGAACTCACAGCAGTCCCCCTGCCTCAGCCTCCCAAGTGCTGGGATTACAGGCATGCCCTACCACACCTGGCTTTTTCATTCTTTTTGAGACAGGTTCTTACCATGTTGCCCAGGCTGGCCTCCTCCTTACCTCAAGCAGTCTTGCCTCAGTCTCCCAAGTAGCTGAAACTACACCCAGCCTCTCTGGTCTGTTTTATGGCTGCTGGGTCTCACACAGTCACCTAGAGGTCCTGTTGGCTGACTTTCTTCTTGGCTCTGCATGCACGATGTTGCCCCAGCCCTGAGCCTTCTGAGGCCAGGAACCAAACCCAGCAGTATGTCTCCCTGGGTGCTGGGCCACGCACCGTGGCCTCTCCACTATGGTGTCACTGCTCACATTGGTGGACCCCTGGTGTTTTCCACAGTTTGCCACAGAAAAGCTGACAGAGCTGGATAGGTGCAGAGAAAAGCTCCAGCGTGAGGCCCACACCCTGATCGATTTTTTCTGTGAAGACAAAGAAACCATGACGTTGGACGAATGCTTCCAGATATTTAGGGATTTCTGTACCAAGTTCAACAAAGCGGTTAAGGTAAGGCTGGAGGCTTCTTCATGCTTTCCCAGTCCTTTGGAGTTCTGCTTCTCTCCCTGAGGACCCAGCCCCTGCCCGTGGCTGAAGCCCCATCCTGCCCTGGGCTGGCTAACGGGAGGCAGGTGCCCCATCCCTGCTTGGGACTCCTGATGGCTGGAGTCTGACCCCTGCCTGGCCTCTGCCCCTGCATGCTCATGAAGGCATGCTCAGCAGTGGCCTGGAAGCATCTGGCAAACTTTTTCCATGGTAAGAATCACAGTATTTAAAAGTTGCTTCCAGTTGCCGGGTGTGGTGGTGCACACCTGTAATCCCAGCACTTGGGAGGCTGAGGCAGGAGGATCACTTTGTTCAAGGCCAGCTTGGGCTTCAAAGTGAGTTCAAGGCCAGCCTGAACTGCATAGTGAAACCCTGTGTAAAAGAAGTCAAAAAATCAATAAACCAGAGCTGTTTGGAGGGCCTGAGCATAGGTCCCTTCTCTAGTCGGTTCCACCCCCAGGAAGACTCCTAGTGCACTGGGGTGACTGGAAGACCCCTTCCCTGCCCACTGTTTCCAGCACCAGGCCACTGTCATGGTGTCAGCACCCTGGGACACTGTTGGCCTAGGCCAGTGTGGCCCTAGGCAGAGCGTGGTCGCTGTACTCCCTACTCTTCAGGACCACAACAGCCATCTCTGCGTTGAAAACTCGCTGGGGTGCCTGGCTTAGCAAAGCAAACCTTTCTCTGTCAATTAAACACAGAATGACAGCTTGTGCCCCTTCATTTCAGGGGGTGAGGAGGACCCAGGTGCTTCTGAGTCACATCTTGCCTCATATTTATGTATTTGCTCATTTGCTTATTTATTGCTAAGGCGTGAACCAGGGCCTTGCACTCTTCCCTACATCGGAAACGCGGGCTCGTGCACAGCTGAAGTTTTGGGAGGGACCGGTCACGTCTCACTCTGGCCCAGAGCTGCTCTGGGTTCCCAGCCCCTCCCTTCTCTATCCAGCTACAAAAGAGAGGCTCGGCCCTGGCCACGTTAATGCTCCTCTGTCCAAGCAGTGAGCTCAGCCGTGGGCAGCCACAGGGGTGGCCGGGGCCAACAGGCCCCTTCTGAGGCCATCCGGCCTGGGAAGCCACCTGTGTGTCCCTTGAAACTGGGCTGACTGACCCAGGCCATGGGAAGCCGTGAAAAGAGAGGCATGAGAAGCTGGGACCCCTGGGGAGATGTAGGAGCCAAGAGTCCCCAGCCAGAGCCTCCCAGAAACTGGAAGGCCCACTGTAGGAGAAAGTAGATTTTCAAATAAAACTGCTAACAGCAATGGATTGAGGTTATGAGATCTGTGTAATTACATGATTGTATGATCTTGCAACCCAAAGGAGATCTGTGATTTGTGACCCAAATGCAGCCAGCTCTCTATATTACAGTTCACGTCTGCAGGTTCAGCTGCCACAAACTGCGGATGTATTTGTTATACTGCATCTGTCCTGAATGTACACAGACTGTTTTTGTCATTATTCCCTGAATGATACAGTCTCACAGCTATTTGCATAGCACTTACATTACATAGCATTTGTATGTAACCTAGAGATGATTTAAAGTATGTGTGAGGCTATGTGTAGGTTATGCAAGTACCTCATCACTTCACACGGGGGCTGGAGCACCCTCTGACCTTGGCACGCAAGGGTGCCCTGGGATCTAGTCCCTGCAGATTCCTGGCGACAGCTGTGTATTAAATCACAGGGTGGGTGAAGGTACTTCAGTATGTAAGTGTCCTCAGTTCAGCTTAACTTGAGGGGTGGGTGTTTGCAGCCAGCTGAGGCCTGGAGGGTTTATAAAGCACACCTGTTCCTTTCTTCCCTTTTGTGGGGCCAGGCTGGGGCACAAGGGACAGAGCCTTCTGCCGCAAGGTCCAGCTGTCAGGGTCACCAAGACATTGGTGGTGTTTCTTTACCAGAGAGCAGTCATGAACAGAACCTCTTCATGTCTTGCGCATACACTTACATATCCAAATCATTAAGTAGGACGCGCTGCATGTGAGTGCAGGAGCGCGTGTGTGCAGGTGCCTGTGTGCGTTCATGTAACACAGAGCTGCAGTGGGGCAGCTCGGCTTTGGCGCCTTGGCTTCTTCCTTGTCTCTGCCTGTGCCTGCCCAATACTTTGCTGGGTGTCTTCACCCATGGAGGAGCCCAGCCCTCACAGAAGGGACAGGTGTAAGTAAGCCAGAGCCTGTGAATTGGGCCCAGGATTACACGAGAGCTGTAGACAGATTGTCGGGGCAAGGCCACGTGCATCCCTCTTGTCGGATGCCCAGGTTGCCTTGGGAGGGCCTCCCTTCCTGCACACACGCATGCGCATCTCTGAGCTCTCTGTATGCCCAAGGCTGGGTGGGAGACTAACTCCCCGCCTCTCCCCTGTCTCATGCACTGTCCCACCTCCCCCCATCCAGGACAACCGGGATCGAGAGGTACAGGAATTGCGGCAGCTGCAGCGGCTAAAAGCCATAGAGGAAAGGCTCCCGGGTGAGCTCGGGGGCTTTGTCCGTAGCAACAGCGAGGCGGACATGGCACTGCTGACCAGGAAGTGCACCGAGAACCTGTCCCAGCTTTCACACCCTAGGCCCGACAGCCCCTACTTGAGGCCCCCCAACATCCGTCGCTCCCGCCACTCATTGGTCGTCCCTACGGACCAAGAGCTGCTGTCTTTTCTGAAAAGTGCCAACGCCACCTCCCCCTCCAGCGGCAGCCTGGATGAGCCCAAGTTCAACACCCTCCCCTGGAGGCACCGGCGGCAGGCGAGACCTGAGGTTGCCAGTGGGCAGTCCGGGGACGCAGGGGGCCACCCCACCTTTGCACAAAGACCTCAGGCCTCCCCTGCGCCCCAGCCTACTGAGCAGCCCCCAGCCCTCCCTCGAGCACGGCACAGGGCTGGCACCCTCCAGAAGAGGAGCAGCGAACCCTCGGGGCTGGGAGCCTCTCGGACACCTTCGCTTTCATCCTTGACCCTGGGTGTTCAGGAGCACGAGTTGGTGACAGGGCTGGCCCAGTTCAGCCTGGAGGACCCCAAGGACACACAGGAGTCAGCACGGCCACCCCAGAATGGTGCTGGCTCCGGGCTGTCTCCGGAGCCAGGGAGCCTGCTGTCTACGAGTGCGGGCCACACGGGCGAGATGCCCATGTGCAGGAGTCCCCAGGAGGGTCTCCACCCAGCCCTGGAGGCCACCGCAGCAGTGCCTGGCAGTGAGGCCTCAGGGTCTATGGGGAGCAGCTCCTCTGAACAAGGGGACCCTGCCAGTGTCTCCGACACCACTGACTGCTCACTGACCCTAGACTGCTCGGAGGGAACCAACCTTGGGGTGGGAGGCCAGGGGCCAGGGGAGGCCAGGGGTGGCTCAGCATCCTCTGGGAGTGGGGCAGTGGGGCACAGCCTGGCCTCCCCGCAGCTGACACCCAACCCCACCAAGAGCGAGACCCCCTGCAAGGTAGGCCACACTGGGGACCGGCCCGCTGGAGGGAAGGAGGCCTCAGCCGGGTCCAAGAGAAGCCCCACCAAGGAGGCATCGCAGGGGCCCCCAAGGGACAGGCGGGCCCCAGGTGGTGCAGAGCCCAGGCCTGTGCGGACACTGAACACGGCCGAGAGCCAGGGCCTGCGCAAGGTCGTGCCCATCTCCAAGACTGGCCGCAGCACTAGGCCTGTGAGGCCCCCGGAACCTGCAGCCCGGGCCGCACCCCGCCGCGGCTCCCCGAAGCGGACCTCAGAAGTGGTGGCAATCAGCACCGAGGACCCGCGCCCGGCCCGGGGGAGCGGTGGCGGCCGCCCGGGGAAAGAGGCGGCTCCGCAGCCCAGGGGCTCCCTCAGGAAGCCCAGTGCCAAGCCCCTGAGGAACGTGGCCAGGCAGCGGCCCGAGGAGAACAGGGCTGGCCCCGCTGAGCCGCGGAGCCCAGAAGAGAAGCCCCGGGTCTCACGCCCGCCCTCCAACATGCCCAGCTTCGCCCGAAACACGCTGGCCTCCGCGTCCCGCTGTGTGCGCCCCGAGCCCGCGCACCCAGGCCTCACGCGGGCGGCCTCGCAGCGGCAGCTCCGGGCCCGGGGCCCGGAGGACTGCGCCCCCAAGGACGGCGGCGCCCTGCGGCGCACCCGCAGCGCCAGGACGACCCAGAGGAGCCCGGAGCCCTTTGAGCGCAGGGTCCGGGAGCCGGGCTCTCCCAGGCGGCGCGGCTCGGCGCGGACCACACTGGGAAGGATGCTCGACCCCTTGTGGAAGTGAGGGACCGCCGCCTGGCACCCACACTGTGACCTCAGACTTCTGGACCAGCGCGGAAGAGGCAGCTGGTGACCATGGTGTCGCTTACGGTTCCAGGGGCCCCTGCTGCGAAGTCAGTCCGGATGAGTGCGCACGACTTCTGTACACCTGGACCCCAGCTTGCCTCCTTCCCGCAGAACGCAAGTCCACAAAGATGTAAAAGATGATGCTCCTATGCAACAAGTGCAAAAAAATTTTCTGGCCAGTTTCTATATGTCACAGACTTGTTTTTTGAGACAGGGTCTTGCTATGTAGCCAGTTCAGGCTGGCCTTGAACTCACTATATAGCCCAGGCTGGCCTTGAACTTGTGATTCTCCTGCCTCAGTCTCCTGAAGGATGGGATTGCAGGCATGCACCACTCCCAGACAAGGACTTATTTTTTAATACTGTATTATGAAAATAAAATGCTGTTTTAGTTGGTTCCTTTAGCAAAGTGAAATGGCTCCCAGGCAGATTGCCCTTGTCGGAAAAGTATTTGCATCTTCCCAAGGTCCCTGACCTCAGGGTCTCACCACCTGCCCACACGCCAGGGCAGCTGCCTCTCCTCTCCTTGGGCCCTTGGGTGAGCTCCATCATCCCAGCTCCTCAAAGACTGCCTGGATCACTGCGCCCAGAGTGACTGGGTGAGGGTCTGTGTGGGATCAGAGGGCATATCAGATGCAGGTGGACGGAAGGCAGCCACCCCTGTGTGAGCCGGGCAGGCAGGGTGGAGGGTGCGGTTGTGGGGAGCCTGCCCTTCATGCGTGTGAGGTCGCCCCAATCTAGAGGTGCTAACAGGAGAGTGGGGCTGTCCCAGGCACGCCATGCCACGTCACGCCACTCCTGCTGTTTCCACATTGGTGGTGAGGGCTACTAGGGATGGTGACAGAGAAGAGCAGACGCTCTGTCCCTGGCCGCTTCCTCCCCTTCTCCTCTGCCTCTCCAAGCTGTCCCTTCTTGTTTGCCATCACCTGGAGCCTGGAGGGGCTTTCCCGCTCCACCTCATCCATTCCATGATGCTTCTCCATGTTGCCATCGCTTCCTTGTTTTTTAAATCCCAAGGAAGACCAAACCAGGTTTTTTTTGGTTTTATTTTAAGCAGGCCAAAAGCTGAAATTGATTTAAGAAGAGTTTATATCATAACACAATGGGGAAGGGATGAGGCGTTCAAAAGCAAGCCCAGGTCTAGTCAGTGTTGGCTTCGCTACCTTGTCCTGAGACGTGGGCAATGAGCGAAATCTTCAGTGGTGCTGTGTCTTACCAGTCGACCCCCTCCTTCACTGGGGGAAAGTCTGGCTCCGGCCCCCACAGGGAGCTGCAGGATGTTGCATTAGGCTCTGAATCACAGCCTCCCTCCAGAATGGTGCCTGCCGGCAGAGGCCTAGAAAGTGCAGCTGAGGGGCCACAGCCCTGTGCGCCCCTGTGAAGAGCCATCCTGGGTGGGTGGGCATGTGCAGGGCTCCCCAAGATGGAAGTGGGAACCCCGAGCAGATGTCCTCAGCCTTAAAGACACTGGGGGTGTCACATTTCCATCCAGGTAGACAGGACTGTCCCAAATGCAGCAGGAGGTGAGGGATGGAAAGGATGGTAAGCTTGTGGACTTGGGGATGGCAGAGTGCTCTGGACTTCTAGGAGGGACCTGCTCTGACCTGGTGTGATGTGGCGAGTCCTTCTGTCCCTCAGTGTCTGTCTCCCCCTCGGGAGCACAGCTTCCGGGCAGGACTCCAAGGATCCTCCAGCCCTAAGCCCGTCTTTTTCCGGCGGAGCTGCTCAGACCCAGTACCAGCTTCCCTAAAGTAGACTAAAGTAGATATTGCCAGCGCTGCTCTGCAGAAAGCCCTACAGGGGCTCCATGCTGAGGCCACTCAGGAGTCACCTGGCAAGCAGTGCCCTCAGGCAGGTGATGGTCACATGCATCTGTGCAAGCAGGTGATCATTGTATTACCTTTTATCGGTAGTAAGTGTGGGGAAATAATTTAAGTATACAATGGAGAATTGTAAATATGTTTCTATATACATTTGTTGAAGATGAACTGAATTATTTAAGGGTCCATTTATATGTGCTTTTATGAAACAGGTAGTTTAATAAAGTCCCTGTTTATGGGAGTTGTGTTTTATCTTGGCCCCTTTTATGAATATGTCCACGCCACCCTGCTGGAAGGGTGTTTAATTTCCTGCCCAGAAAGAAGGTGGGAAATTAAAGGGGACATAGGAGGGCAGGGCTCCAGCGACCATGACCTGCGAAGAGCCAAGCCACGGCTGTTGGCAGTGTGTCCTCTTGGTGTTGGTGGAACGGGACATACAGAGTGGGGGCTGCAGAGTGGGCTTTGCCCCAGAAGCATGGGGGTGCAGGCACACTGGTGCCCAGCCAGCAGCGGAGCCTTTGTGCCTCCTCCAGGCTCATGGCAGTCCAGGTTGGGCCGGTTTTGTGTAATCTGCAAGGGGCCAGCAAGTCTGGATCTGTTTGTGCATCTAGTCTTGCCTGTTGGCTTAGGACCCATTGGGAAATTGTGGCTCACCTCCGTGGCTGGCTCAGAAATGAGCAGGAGGGCGGTGTCACTGCATGTGAAATGTGTTGGCGCCTGTGTGCGCAGAGATGCATCCCACGTGAGATGTGTTCCTCGGACCTCGGATTTCACACCTAGTGTGGTCCTGTCTGTCGTCCTGCTCTGTCTGAAGCTGGGTTAGAGGAACACCCTTGGCGAAGGCAGCACAGGGCACAGATTGGTTCTGCTCATGCTGTCGGCTACTGCCCAGCTCCTGGATGCTCACAGCCTGGCTTAGCCTGATGTATAAGCAAAGTGGGACACAGGGCCCCCCCATACCTTCCCTCCTGCTGCTCTGCAGGCTACAGACATGTGCCCCGATGCACACGCAGCACAGGTCTTTATTTTCCCAGTGGGTCTTCAGGAAGTTTCATCTGACCCCTTTATTGGTTTTTCAAGGAACTGAGTTCCAGTCCTCTCCCCCAAACTACACGTTGAATCTAGCCACTGCTTCCTGCTATGCATTCAGTGTTCCGCGTATGTGTTAGACCGGGAGGCTTAGAATGAATTCCTCACTGGAACAGTGAATGCGCATTCTGAGGCGTGCAAATTCATAATGTCTGCCTCCGAGTGTGCACAAGCCTCCCCTCCCTTCTCCCATCTGGGAATGAGGGCACTTCATAAGTGTGGTAGTGAGGGTCTACCAGGGAAAAGATTTAATACGGGACACATAATATATAGGATTATTTTATAATAGTCACCCAAAAGTCAAATACAGAAGAGTATGGGGAAGGCCGGGGAGATAGCTCAGTAGAATAAGTGCTTGCCTGGCAAATGTAAGCTTCTGAGTTCAATTCCCAGTACCAGAAAGTATGGGGAGGTCTGTCCACTCAGTGAAGACCCAAAGAATCCAGCTGAGGGCCTGGACCCCATGGCAGTGTCCCGCATGAGTCCAGTCGGAGGCCAAGGGCCCACGACAATGTCTCGTGCAAGTCTGTATCAAGGAGCTGCTCTGAGAAGGCCCGGAAGTCAGTGGAAGCTAGAAAATCTGCGCCAGCAGGCTGAGGGATCTGCCCTGGAGCCTGGAAGCGACGCTGATGGCAAGGACCAGAGCTCCCTGAAGCGTACCACAGCTGTCCTCAGCAAGTGAGGTCCCGAGCTCCTGGATGGCGAGAACCACCAAGTTCATTTCAGGAAAATCAGTGAGACGAGCTTCTTCAGGACACTGAACAGCGCACCATCTTCCCCTCTAGTTCTTGTTTTATGCTGCTGGCAACAATCCTCAGGTGGGCCTCCCGCACCCAGCACCGCGCCGACTCAGTTCAGCTGGTGTAATGAATGGACCATTAGTTAATCCACCACAGTAAGTTTATAGAATTTCCCATTCAAATTTAAACTTCATTCTGAATATATATATAATTCTTTTTGTTACGGTGGGGGCCAAACCCAGAGCTACTGTGAGCTAGGCGGGTGCTCTTCCATGCGGTACATCCCTAACCATTATTGCTTTACATCCTAGCTCTGAGGAAAACGAAACACTTTTTTTTCTTTTTCTTTTTTGGTATGTGTCCCCAAATATGGCATCAAATATAAGCTAAATTTAGGTAAAGGGCTCCTCAGCCACCCTGGCACCTGTGAGAAAGCTTGCAGTGAAGGGGGGCAAAAAAAAAAGCAGCAGGCTGAAGTTCCCCCTCGATTGCACACATCCTATTGGAGATGGGATAGTGGATGCGGCCAACTTTGAGCAGTTTCTCCAGGAGAGAATCGAGGAGACGGCAAAGCTGGAATCTCGGGGGAGGGCAGTCACCACCGAAAGGAGCAAGAGCACGATCACTGTGACTTCCAAGGTGGCTTTTTCCAAAAGGTATTTGAAATATCTCACAAAAATATTTGAAGAACAGTAATCTGAGTGACTGGTTGCGTGTAGTTGCTAGCAGCAAAGAGAGTTATGAATTATGTTCCTTTCAGATTAACCAGGACGAAGGGGAGGAGAAAGGGGAGGATTAAAGCTCCTTTGTCTTAAATATTTTTTGAGTCATTGAATAAAACTTGGGAACCAAAAAATAAACAAATGAGTAAAGGACATAGCGTCCAGTCACTCAGCGCCTCTGAGTGATCTTGGCTCTGAGCACAGTGGGTCTGCCGAGGCACGGTCCTCAGGACCCAGTGACTAACAGCGCATAGCTCAGGCGGGGTTGAAAGCGTAATAACCCAGTGCATCCTCTCCTGGGGCTTCTGCATCTGCCGCTAGCTCCCAGCAGATTCCCTAGGTGAAGACAGAGATAACATTCTTGCAGTTGAAGAAACTGCTTTCCTGTCTTCTGGGTCAGAGCCCTGCAGTGGGGCTTTGGGCTTCCTGGTTGGTAAGACGGACAACCAACCTTCTTCTATGGAAGAAGGTCCTGCCCTGTTGGGCACCCTTTGCCAGCCCCGGGAGCCTGGCACACCCTGCTTCCCACCCGTGGAGTGAAGCCACCCAAGTCCTGTGTGAGGTCTGTTTGAGGTCCCCATTGCTGAGCTCAGGTTGGGTGTCTGGAATCAGTCTAGGCTTTGCCTGGCCTCCACAGGAACATTCAGGGCTGCGTCTCCCAGGCAGTCCCTGAAGCACAAGCAGATGCTGTCCAGGAGCTGGCTCGCAACCTGTGGTCAGAACACACATTCCCGTAGCCCCCGTGCCAAGTCTTACAGGAAAGTTTTCTAGGACAGCCCAACAGAAACCGATGTGACCCTTCAGCAGTGGCCTGCATGTTGAAATCCCTAGGTTGGAATCCGCACCCCCAGGCCTACAGAAACCCCTCTACCTTTGCCACCCTGTGTGGACACAGCAGAACT